GCTAAATGTGGCCAAACAGATGAAGAACACTTCTTAATATTTTTTTTCTCTCAAATAGAATAGGTGATTTTGCAAAAACATAAACCTTTTAGCTGAAATAAAAATATCTCTTTTGTTGACATAAGGCTGTGGACTGAGTTGTTCCTCTCTTTAATGGATGATTTTGTAGGTTACATTGGTATTAATGTGTAGTTCCACAATATAGCTTTATAAAATCCAGTTGCACAGTGGTAATATAATCCAGCAATATCTATTATCTTTTCTGAAAGCCTTCAAATATTTGTTACTTAAAAAATTATTTTTACTTTTTCTTTTACATTTGAAAGTCACAGATTAAGCAACACCTTTTGTGATTAAAAAGGAAAATACACATAGAGTCTCTTGTAGCTTCTCTAGGCTGCAGTTAAGAAAAACAAAGAGAAAAGCAAAGCATGTATTTTGTTCTGTCAACATGCGAACAGTTTTTACTCTATCTTACTACCCATACAAGGGATACAGACAATTGTGTATGCTTTGTATTTATAAAGCAATAAAATAAAAGCCTGTATGATAAACATTGCGTATCTGGATTTTTTGGTTGGTGTTGTTGACAGATTACTAACTAAAGAGCTGATGATAATCCAGTCTTTTTAAAATAAAAATGTATCTGAAATTTGTGTCACTGCATATGATTAATATTTATTGTCACAACAACTAAGACAGGAGGTGATTTAAGGTTAAAGAAAAACAAACTATGGAAATGTCTTTGCGGTTCCTTTAACAGGATGGAAGTTACAGTTACAAAAAAACGTAATGGTTTAGGAGGAAATAGGACATGTCTTTAGGATCAGCGGCTTGTCAAAATAGAACTTGCAATTTTTCAAATAAATGGGTATTAATATAATCATATTTTTATGTCTTAGAATTACTTACAACTCAGGGCTATTGTACTTCATTATAAAGTTAGAAGTATTATATAAACAAATAAACCTTGAAACCAGATTAAAAATAATGGTACAAATAAAGTTATTAATTATTATAATTTATATAATTTTTCCTTTTTAAAAAAGACAAAACATTTCTATCAATTACCATCACAGTCCTTGCCTTCATCATGGGTCTTCTAACTGAATAGCAGCTGAAAACTGATAAAGTTAGTCCTCTTGTTAATGAAAGTGCATATTCTCATGGCTGTCAAAAAAAAATGAAATCCAAATTTAAGTGCTTTCCACATTCATAATTTGAATTAACCTTAAAAGTAATCCTTTCAGGACCAGCAAGTGGAGTGATGGTTAAGGTGCTGGACTCCCACATGGCCAACTGTGGTTCAAGTCCTGGACCTGGGAGCTTGCTTTCTCACTTTCCCTTTCTCTCTCTCTCTCTGGTCAAATTAAATAATAATAATAGTAATAAATAAAATCAAACAAATAATTATTTTTAAAAATCCTTTAATATATTGGGACCTGCAGGTGGCATTGTGGTTAAGGTGCTGGACACTCCCACATGGCCAACCACGGTTCGAGTCCTAGACCTGGTGGCTTCCTTTCTCCTTTTTTTCTCTCTCTCTGTGTCTCTCTCTGGTCAAATTAAAATAAATGAATGAAAAAAAAAATGAATGAATAAATAAAATTAAATAAATAATAATAAAAAATCCTTTAATATAGGCCAGAATAATTATTTATCCCATCTTAATGAATAAGAAAGGACAAAAAAGGGGGTTGTTTCTTGACCTTTTGGTTCTTAGTAGTATTTGGTGTCAATGTTGCGTCTTTTTTTTTTTTTTTTTTTTTTTAAGTTATCAGGTCAGCCTTGAGCTCACAATCCTGAAGAGAATATTTAGCTAGTGCTTTTCAGGTTATAGGGAAGCTGTACCAGAAAAGACACCATGGTATACTATTTGTCAACCCATTACCTATGGTGGGACAGGCAGGAGGCATCACTGCATGATACTGGAGCCATGTGGGAAGGCCCTGGGTCCTGGGTGACCTGAACACGATGGACATCCATTCTTCATAATCCTGGCTGCCTGAAAGGTTGAGGGGGAGCTTTGCCATCTGGTGTGACCTTGTCAAAGGGTATCAGTCTTTCTCTCACATATAAACATAAATAATGTAAAAAGAAAATCTATCAATAGTTATCTAGAAAAAGTTGAAAAGTTGTAATATAATTATTCTGTAATGATAAAGAATCATGAAGTTTGTGTGTGTCTCTGTGGATGTGTGTGTGTGTGAGAAGGGTGTGAACGTGTATACAATGGAGTACCGTGAAAATGAGCTCAATCCTCAACTTGCATCAATGAGAAGTAGGTAATGCCAAACCCCCAAAATCAAGAGATAGCAATATACCCACACTATATAGATGTAAAGTTTGAAATTACAGAATAACCACCTAAAATAGTTGAATTGAAATTTATTTTCTCTAGGAATTAGAAAGTGGGAAAAAAGAGGAACAAGGGTCTGCTGTGTTTGTAACAAGAATACAGAGTTTTCAAATATGCATAATATGTACATGTATAACTGATAAAATAAAAATGGATAAAAACAACATAATAGCTACACAGAATAAGATAGTTACAGAAAAAATTCCCTTATTAGTAATGAAAGTTACATACACATTATTTAAAGACACATCTTAGAAATTATTATTATCATAATGTATGTATGGCTATTGGCCATGCATGTCATTTATTAAATTTACAAAGTTATCTTTATGATAAACCATCCATCTGCTTGATTTTAAAGAGGCCACTGATAGCTAAAGGAATCACTGTTGAATGTAAACCTATGAAAAATATTTGTGAAAATGGCACCATGGTCTTCAAGCTTCTGGGAGAATTATGACCTACGTGTGAATTGCTGAAATTTTACTTCTTTTTTAAAAATAAATTTTTTGGAGACTTTTGCAATAGGGTATGTGTGCTTGCCAGAGAGAGAGAGAGACAGGAAGCAAGAAATCACCCCCCAACCCACCCACCAGGGGGCATGGCCATGCTGTAATCCCTTCTCCTCCCAGGATTTTGGGCACGCATGCACATGAGTTTCAAGCTGCCAGGTCTGGGTCTCAAACTGTGGTGGGTCATGTGGGAGTCCAGAGTCTTAACCACTACACCACCTGCTGGCTCCTTTATTTCCTTCTTTTTAAATTTGTCATAGGGTTTGTATACTCAGAAAGAGAAAGATAGAGAGACAGAAACAGAAATTGGGAAAGCACCCCCTGGAGGGGATGGCCAGGCTGCAATCCCTTTTTTCCTCTCTAGATTTCGGGCATGCACACATGTGTACCCAGCAAGTTTCTCAAGCCATCAGGTCTGGGCCTCAGCCAACACAGGTGGCCACGTGAGATCCAGTTGCCTTAGCCACTATGCCACTGGCTAGCCCCAACTTTTTTTTCTATTGCTGCACATCACACTGCCACAGATAACATGGCCTTGAGATTTGGTATCAATATGACCAAGGATTAGTAGGGAAATAGGGAAAGCCATTGGTATCTTCTCAACCTGGCCACACTGGAGCGGAACAGGGCTTACAGGGCTTTGTATCCATTTAAGTTCTCTTTATACTGGGAAGTTTGTAACCATCTTTAAGGATGGATGACCCTTCGAACATTATAAAGAGAAGAAACAATCCTCATCTATCACACATTTTTCCTTTATTTTTCTGGCTGTCCCATCACCTAGCTTTTCCCTGATTCTGCAGGAACTTGTCTTCTTTAAGTTTCCAGTTAATGACAGTGATAGGGCCTGATTTCAATGTGCCCTTCATGCTCAAAAAGACCTTATGATGTAAAGTTATGAATCAATAAGGAAAAAATATCCTTACTGTAGCATATTTATCATTCCCTTTTTTGGAGGGTGGCCAGAGGGAGCATTTATTCACTACAGAGAAATAGAGAAAGAGAAAGATGGAAAAGGCACCTTTAAGGGAACATGATCATGTTGTAATTCCTTCTCCATTTTTGAGAAGGAATCCCACTATGATTTGGAGCACTTGAGCACATGCACCTGATGTGTCTTCCAAGCAGCTAAGCTGGGATTCTAATTGCCCTTGGCCACATGGGATCTGGCTCCCTTAACCATAAGGCTTCCATTGTAGCATTTTGATCAGAGGAAGAATCACTTTCCCTTCTTTTCATAGATTGCAAGCCTTTGCTGAAGGCTAGCTACTGCTTTGATTATTGTTTCTGTCATAGAAGTGTTCCTTCCTACCTGGCATCCTGATCACAATGTTCTCCAGTTTGCAGTGATTTTTAGCACAACAGAGTCCTACCAGCAATTGTTAATAAAACCTATGCTTTGCAGCTAGTTGATCCCTCTGGACCCAACCTTTGTCTCGACCCCCCAAAACACACTCTTACTTGACTTCTACTCATGCTTCCATATTCAGCATGTCACTTCTCTCAGAAGCTGATTTAAACGCCCTGCTACAGGCTTATCACGCCAACTAAACACTCGATAACAAGGCACTGTGCCAATTACCTATTTTTGTTCTAATTATAAGATCTGTAAGAGCAGAATTGTATCCATCTTTTTTCACCATTGATTTTTCTGGGTCTAATATAATGCTGGCCCTGGCATAGGAGGGACTCAATAAATATGTTTTGACTTGAATAGCTTTGTTATTCTCTTTCTCTCTCTCTTTTTTTTACTTTTTATTTTTTAGTAGTATCATTCTCTATATCATCTTTGTGACATGATGGATAGAAGAGTATTCTGTAAAGCCTCTATCATTTGTGGTTGAGAGGTACATATTAATCTCTATGCAAATGACATAGAAAGATTATGGCAACTGTGCGTCTCCACCCCAAATTGGAATGGTGAAATCTGGAGTGCTTAGCTTTCTTACAGAAGAGGCTCCTGGAATCCATTAACAAATAAATACGTCTTCATGTTATAGTACCATAGGTCAAGAGATGATGAGATAATATCTAATATACTTGAGGATTTCATTAGATGAATGGAGGTCATTTGGCACACTAAAATGCCCTTAATATGATTTGTTCACTATCTTTCTGTTTTATTGCAGCCGAGGCACCGACAACAGACTGGCCCACCGGCGGCAGACAGTTCTCCGTGAGAAGGGGAGAAGGCTAGCTAATCGAGGGCCAGCATACATGTTTAATGACCGCTCAACAAGCCTGTCTATTGAGGAGGAACGCTTTTTAGATGCAGCTGAATATGGCAACATCCCAGTGGTACGGAAGATGTTGGAAGAATGCCACTCACTCAACGTTAACTGTGTGGATTACATGGGACAGAATGCCCTGCAGTTGGCAGTGGCCAATGAGCATCTGGAAATTACCGAGCTTCTTCTCAAGAAAGAAAACCTCTCCCGGGTTGGAGATGCTTTGCTTCTAGCTATTAGTAAAGGTTATGTTAGGATCGTGGAAGCAATTCTCAGTCATCCAGCTTTTGCTGAAGGCAAGAGGTTAGCAACCAGCCCCAGCCAGTCTGAACTTCAGCAAGATGACTTTTACGCCTATGATGAAGATGGGACACGGTTCTCCCATGATGTGACTCCAATCATCCTGGCTGCCCACTGCCAGGAATATGAAATTGTGCACACCCTCCTGCGGAAGGGCGCTCGGATTGAGCGGCCTCATGACTATTTCTGCAAGTGCAGTGAATGCAACCAGAAGCAGAAGCACGATTCCTTTAGCCACTCCAGGTCTAGGATTAATGCCTACAAAGGCCTGGCAAGTCCAGCATACCTATCATTGTCTAGTGAAGATCCAGTCATGACAGCTTTAGAACTCAGCAATGAACTGGCAGTGCTGGCTAACATTGAGAAAGAGTTCAAGGTAGGTCATGAATAACAGGGACTTTCCTCTCCATGTGTCAAGGTCAGGGTGTATTTGAAGCTTCAGCACTGTCCTACTTATTGTGGATACAAGGTGATTTTATGTATTTGTTCAACAAGCTCTATATTTATAATATATATAATTTATATATATAATTATAATTATAAAAGTGATTACAACCATTTAGTGATGATCTACTCTCTGTCAGACATTTTATATTGATTATATCTACTCCTTGTCACAACCTTGGGAAGATAGTATTAATTTCTGTGCAGATAGAGAAATGGAGACAAAGAAGGGTTAAGTAAGGCCAAAGAGCAACACTGGTAAATGACAGAGCTGGGATCAGAATCCAGGTGTCTTGGCATCCAAGATCTTTCTCCTGTAAAGCACTTTTCCATGTTCAGAGCATGGTGATAGATGCTGCTGAGGCCACAACAATGAATAAGCTTAAGAGAGTCACAGTTTGCCTTGAGAGACAAATGCATACGTGAATACATTTGGCATAAAGCAAAATGAAACTACTGGCTAGAGCTGTAGGCAATGTTCTGTAGAAGTTCAGAGAAAGCAAAATATAATTTCTTTTAGGTTTATGGGAAGTTACACGTAAGATAGCATTTTAGCTTTATATGGCAGAATGATTAAGATTTTGGAAAGCAGAGAATGAAGGACAAAGTATTTTAGGGCAAGGAAACAGCAAAAGAAAAGTTCATAGATGTGAAAAAGTAGCCTTTTACAATATTGAGCGCTGTCTTAATCAAAGGTATCTGGAGAGAAATGGTATCAGATGGTGCCATTGTCTGTAAGGTGGATGCTGCATTTGGAGAGGATGAAGGCTTGGGTTCCCAGGGCAAGATCATCCCTGCACACATCACTAAACTCTCTCCTTGGGTTATCTGACTTTTTTTTTTTTTTAAGAGAGACTTTTGCTATAGGGTATATGCACTTGCTGGAGAGACAGAGAGATAGAAAATGAGAAATCACTCCCTGAGAGGATGGCGATTCCATGATCCCTTCTCCTCCATTGTCCTCTCAGGATTTTGGACATGCACACACATCACCAGGCGTGAGTTTAAGCCTCTGGGTCCAGGACTCGAACCATGGACAATTACATGGGAGTCCACCAATGTAACCATTATGCCATCTGCTGGTTCCCCAAGACACATTTTTGCACACAAAAAAAATACACTGTGACATTTCTGACAACCCAATACATGTGGCTTGGAGTTAGGTCTGATTGAGTAAGTCCAACGTTTTCCAGTAATCAATGCTGGTTTTATTCTCTAATCTATGCTGTGAGAAAAACTGACTCTCTACTCTGCAGCTTGGGAACAGCCTGGTCATTTGTGAGCAGCTTCTTGGTGCCATTCTCACTGAAAGAATGGTGTTACACTCCATTATGGGATGTCGTGTGTCCGCCTGTATTTGAGTCCTATCTGTCCAGGGAGGGAAGGAGAATGGTTATTGAAATCCTAGGTATGTGCTTGACTCCTGAGATGGAGGAAGGTGCTTTTCCTTTAGCTGAGAGTACAGGACAAACCAAATGATTCTTTGCAATCCTGTCTCAGAATCTTCTCTTGATGTCAAGGTTCTCTTGATGTCGAGGACTCTATGATTCAGAGAACTTTGCCAGGTTAAAATTAAAGTGGTTTCTTTGGAATCCAATTAATATTAATACAAAATAAAAACACAATTCAGTCAGTAACCCTACCCTCAATTAGTTTATGATGTAATGAGAGGGAAAACACTTGAGCATAATAACTGATTTTAGGCATGATCTCATGGAGGGAAGAGTGGGACAATAGTACGAGTGTCGGAAGAATTGCATCTGGAGATGTATCTCTTCACTGTCCCTAAATGCACTGCAAAATGCAGAGGTCCCCATACAGTGAAAAGATTTAGATATCTGGACCTGCTTTTATTTGTCCAGCACACTTTTATCTTCCCTGCACACTTAAGTGTAAAGTACTTATGTATTTATACTTTCTCGATTTGTTCCACTGAGCAGCTACTGAGATTCTCTCAACAATCATACACTTATGTTAATACCCTGCTTCTGTGAAGGCTTTAGGGCAAAGAAAAGATAACTCTCTTTGAAAACATAACTGTCTTTAGTAGTATGCTATTCTTAATACCTTTAAAAATAATGACCAGGCCCAGATGCACTAGTTGACACTGCTACATAGCAGGCTGAGGAGGGAGGCATGTGTTTGATTCTCGATCTATCCTAAATGCCAAGAATAGTAGACCCAGCTAGTCGTGAATTTGAAGCAGGAGGACTGTGACATTGTGACATAGCAAGATCTTGTCTTTAAAAAAATTCAAAAATTAACTTAGTTTACTGTTAAAAGAAGGTAGCCATTTAAAAATCTTTATATATATCTGTATATGTATCTTGCTATGCACACACACACATGCACACACACATATATACACACACACATTTTTCCTAGAACTCAGCAATCAACATTTTTCCTAATTATATATATATACACACTTATATACACATATATATGTTAAATCTTTATATATATATATATATATATATATACACATACACACACACATATATGTGACACACACATATATATCCTAGAACTCAGCAATCAACATTTTTTTTCTAATTAGAAACCTGATGCAAATGGTCCTTGTATTGTACAAGAAGAAAAAAGAACTTCTTGGCTTTTTTCCCCCTTTAAACCTTTAAAAAAACAAAACAAAAAAAGCATTATATTTTCTTTCTCACCAGACATAAAACATTAAAACAAATATCTTATTCTTCAAGACAAGTTTGGACAGCAGAGGTAAGAGTAGTCTCATACAAAGACCAGCCACACACCATTGCCTCGGTGTGTAAACTCTTGGGAACCCCATTCTTCACCCGCCCAAGGCTACTGGGATTAAATCTATTCCCAGCATTCCAGCATCAATTTACAGCAGGAAGAGATCCAACAGAGTTAGAGAAGTTAGTGTCTCCAAAGTGAGCCTTCCTGCTAGGTCTGCTACGCCTATCTTTCAAAAATAATTTTTTTTGCTTATTTGAAATAATATGTTAGAAAATAAGACAGTATTGGGAAATGTTTTAAGACTCGTAATTTTGCTACTATGAAGTAAACACTGATACACTGCAAACACGAAAGTGCACATATTTCTAGGTTTGTTTTTTTAAAAATAGTCAAATCCCCTAGAGTCTCAGGAAACAAAGGAGCTGGGGAGAGGCTGGACCTCCTCAGGCCTGGTCTGCCTCACAGGGACTTGAGAGATTGCATTGGCCAAAGAGAATCTTTCCTGCTTATGGTTTTGAACTTTTTTTGCTCTCTTTATACCTGAAAGACATTGGAAAAATTCTGTGCTCATTTGCACATTTAAAAATTAATATGTACAGACCAGCAGGTGGTGTGGAGATTAAGGCACTGGATCCCTCATGACAACCTTCATGGTTCAAGTCCTGGATATGGCCGTTTGAAGATCACATTAGGAATATATGCATGCATGCCCAGGATGACATGAGGAGAATAGAGGAGAGAGGATTGTGATGTGGCCAATGCCTGTGGAGGGGTGATTTCTCACTTTTTCTCATCCTCTCTCTTGGTCGTTTGTCTCTCTGATGAGTGCACATGTGCTATATCATACAATAATAATAATAATAATAATAAATATTGATATGTAATTGTTTTCATTTGCAAGTTTATTTATTTATTTATTTATTTTGAGAGATTTTTTCCTATAAGATGCATGTGCTCACTGGAGGGACAGAGAGATAGAAAGTGAGAAATCACCCCGCCCTTCCCAGGGGAATAGCCATGCCACAATCCCTTCTCCTCTATTCTCCTCTTGGGATTTTAGGCATGCACACACCTATTCCCGACATGAGTCTCAAGTCGCCAGGTCCAGAACTCGAACCACAGTGAACAACATAGGACTACAGTGCCTTACCCAGTATGGCACTTGAAGGCCCTTTCTTTTGAAAGTTTATATATTAGGTTGTCAGGAAAGTCATGACATATTTTTTCCATGTTTTTCTATGTAAAGATGTGTTATGACTTTTCCAACAACCTAATATTTTTATGAGATGATTCCTGCATGGTGTATATATTACTACTTAAAAACAGAGCTCTTAAATTGTTTCCTCAAATGTATCTAGGGGGACTCTAAATGCTAGACTGTTTTTATGTCAATCATCACTTATTAAAAAAAATAAGCAAACAACCTCTTCTTTAATGTCCCAACCAGCTATAGCTTTCCTTTTTCTCCTTGAGCTATAGTTCCAATCCAATTTGCTCCACAAATGTGAGTCTTAATGTAATAGCTTTTAATTCTAAAGTCTCTTACAATCACCTATATATACAGCAAATATGTGTACATGAAATTATAGAAATTTAAAACTGTATATATGAAATTTTAGAATTCATTTCCTGTGATCACAGACCTCCAGGTATTAAAAGTATTCTGGAAAGAGCTACCATTACATTTATTTGTAGTATACTTGACTAAAACTATATAAATTAAAGCCAGTTGTTCAAAATAATAAATATATATAAATTTTGAAAAATAAATTTTAGCTACATGACATATAGTTCTTAATGGGAATACATTTTTAGTAAAATTAATCATGTTTGCACTTTTGCTACGTGTTTAATGAAAGTGTGTATGTGTATGTGTTATGTGTGTGTGTGTGTAGGGATCTTCCAAAAGTTCATGGAAATTATGTATTGTGAAAAAACTATTGATGGGGGCAAGCAAGTGGTGTGGTGGACCAGGTTCTGGACTCTCACATGGCTGATTATGGCTCAAGTCCCAGACCTGTGGCTGGGTGCGTGTATGCATGCACTTGCGCGCTTGTGTGTATGCTCAAAATCCCAGAAGGCAAACGGAGAAGAAGGACTGTGGTGTGGTCACTCCACAGGGGGATGATTTCTCACGTCCCTCTCTCTCTTTGTTCCTCGGGCAAGTGCACATGTCCTATGGAAAATAAAAAAAAAGAAAAAAAAGAACAAGAA